TTTTTTGATTCAAAATTATTTTATTTTAAATTCAGCAAAACTAATATTGTCTAATATAAGAAATACTATGAAATAACTTTTTGGTTAAACTGAAACAAAAGTCAAAAAAACAATTATATTGTATATTTTGATTAAAGAGAGACACCTGGTGTAAAATTAAAAAATCATATTTCGACAGGTTATATCTTTTAAAAATACATTTTAAATCGACATTGCAAATATTTTTTGAGTTACAGCTTTCTTAAGTGTAACCGCTCAGTTCATTCAGCTCCTTCAGTTTATTTCTGAATGCGTTTTTCTCAAAACTTCTCGTACATTTTTAAATTTGCTTGAGAGATTGTTCGAAGAAAATAATTCTATCAAGAACAAATATTTTTTTCAGTTTTTTGTTCTGGAAAATCGGGTCCTAGAAGGTTAGAAACGACCAAAAGTGTGGACAAAATTCAACATTTTTCAAAAAAGCCGTCATTTTGTAAGTTTTTAATATTTTTCGACCTTATGGTAAACCACTGTACGGACAGTCTTCTAGTAAAGAACTTTTTTTTAGTTTCATCTAAGAGAAGGCCGGAATCAGTGCAACAGTGGAGTATAATTTTTTGTAGCGCCGTCGTAGAATGCGTTTAACGTGGAAAATGTTTAATTTTTGCCTTTAAAAAAAGAATGTGTATTCTTAAAATATTTGTAAAAATACCCTTAAATTTTTAATTGATATAGTAGTTTTTTCTATAATTTTCAAAAATTACTATTATTAAGCTGTTACATTAGATGTACCGCCAATTCCAAAAACTAGTCAAAAAAAAATTAAATTCTAAATTATTTTTAACTTAATAGATTATATATTATATTTCTAAAAAATTCAAAAAACAAATTTTTAGAGCTTTAGTTATTAAACAACAGAGGGAGATATTCTTACTGAGGATCTATTTTTTTCATAATAAATTTTTTCCATTTTTCCTGCAGCACGTTAAGCTACTAGATATGAGTACATAAATGTACTTGTATATCTATTTTTTTATAGCATATACTCGAAAAAATAAATGCAGTATCGGAATAATAAGCGCTGGCATTGCAGCAAATAAACCTAAATTATGTTGTGCATATTTTTAGTAGCAAATAAAATAAAATACATAAAAGCCATTAAATGCCCAAGAGTCCAGCAGAGCAACCGATCAAAATGAAGCAATCGCAATGAAATTACCCGCCGGCGAGCAAGCAACTAAGTTAAGTACTTAGCTGCTAAACTATACTAAAGAGGACAAAAGTTCAAGCATAGAGCAGAAATGCAATCGAAGGCCGATCGAACGGCAATTACTAAGAGATGCACACAGGCATACAGATATATGTACACAGCTATAGAAATATGATAAAGTGGAGGAATGTTTTATTCAAGCATATATTTTAATGATTTCTTAAGAGAAGGATACAGAAGAAACATCAAATATATGTAGTTCTACTATACACATACACATATTTATATATATATAGGTATATGTACACACTATATATTGGCTAGTCTATGCCGCACAGAAGATGCACCAAGGACTTCAGGGTGGTTTAATCATAGAATATGCAACATCTGCAGACACTTGAAAGTTGCAAGCCTGCAAGTGCTCGCAAACACATATTTAAACACACATACATGTGCACATACTTCCTCAATTCAAGATAAACTTGTGATAACGTCGCAAAATTATGACTATGCGTTGCAATAAAATTAACCATTTCTCGTAAGCAAAAAGCAAAACACAAAATAATTGTATACATTGTAGACAAGAGCAACTCCCACTTCAATTACCGGCAAGTACACTTGCACTTGCGTAACAATGTTGCAAGGCTGCAAGGCTGTAGTGTTACTGTGGTGGGGGTTGTGCGGCGTGTTTGCATGCTAATTGCATACTTCATGGCGGTTGTCCTTTGTGCGCTTTATGGATAACAACAACAACAGGCTGTAGAATGGATTTAAAGGCAATTGGACACACAAGTGGACAGCCAGAATCAAGCTAGTCTACACTAAATGCTGCATAAGCAGCAAGCAAAAGGAAAAGTTCTAAAGTAAAGGAACTCAACATTTAATTGTGTAGCATAACGACAGCCACAACATAAACATTAGGTTGTGTAATTTTTTAGGAAATGGTAAATAAAATGTTAGGAATAGGCACCCGTTAATATTATTGTTAAGACCTCAAACTTTAAGAGGATTCCTTTCTTACCTTCCTGAAAGTTTTTGACCCATTTATAAGTTGAAAAAAGTTGGTTAAATACGACACACCCTAATATATTATACATATGTACATATATTTGAATAACTATGGTATGTGGCAATCTTATGCGCTTCATAAGCTAGCGACCGCAGTGAAGCTGATGTGTGGAAAAGCGTTCTTAAGGAGTCAAGTGGGTTTTGTTGTAAGACACCGAGAGGTTAGATAGCTGTGTTTGCTGCGCTAAAGACACGCATATATTAGGTAATAGGTGGGCGACCGCGTGGGTGCTGGAACGGATGAATGAGCAATGAAAGGAGCTGTACGAATGTGGATTAATGAGAACTCATCTTGAACTTTGTATAAAAAATGCAACGTCAGCTTTATTTAGAAGGTGTTAAATCGACTAAGATTATGAAAGAATATTAAAAGATAAAAAAGGGTTTAAAGGATAGTTGTTTATGTTATGTTACAGTGTTTTAGCGCATAGAGTTCATGATCAAATAGGAAATTTAAATAAAGAATCTTGTTTTCTTGAACGATAAGGAGGCAAGAATTGGTGGTGTTCATACAAAAATTGTTGCTATGCTAGGAAACCTGAATTTTTCTCGATTCTAGTAAGTATTCAAAAAAACGTCAACCGTTCAATCTAATAGTTACTAAGAAAAGAGCATGCCACTTTGAACAAACTTAAAACTTGCTGCCGGAGATCTCTTGTATTAAGAGACATTGTAAAATTAAAATAAAAAAAATTAATGAATATTTTTAATATTTTTTTAGTTACAGACGTCTAAAAATCTTTTAGTTCAATCAGTTTAAAAAGTTTATCTTTAAACGCGTTTTTCTCAAAACTAAATTTGTCAAATTTGCTTGAGTTATTATTCGAAGACAAATGATCAGATCACTATCCAATTTTTACCGCATATTCTGTACATAGTTCTTCATACAATGAACTACCAGTATTTTGATCTGATAAAAAATAAAATTTTAACAGGCCAAATACGACCAAAATTTTGAAAAAAATGTTACTTTTTGATTAAAAAAAACCCCGCCATTTTGTCAATTTTTGTTTTCGACTGTTGGTCTTTGTACGGACAGAATTTTGTTTTTTAGATTTCAGCCACGAAAGAAAAAGGCCGGAATCACTGGAGCAGTGGAGGACCTTTTTTTGCGCCGTCAAGATCGCGTGAAACTCGAAAAATATTTCTTTCCTTTTCTTTAAAGTGTATTCTTAATATTTTAAAATAGTTGATACAGATTTTTTTTTATTTAAAAAATCGTGTGCACTTTAGTAAAATTTGCGGAATTCCTATAACTCTTTAACCTCTAATTTTCTTACTATTACCAACCATTTATGTGCCAAAAAAATAAATATGAGTATATACTAGCTACAACTATACTTAACAAGAGCTTCTCGAAATTATTATATATCACTGTGAGAAAAAATTACACTTGGGGTATTGTGAACCTAAGCAATACTATCGTACCTCGTACCTCATAAACATTTAATATCAAGCAATAAGAAAAAAAGTATTTGATTTCTTGTGGGTTCTAATGGTGAAATATGGATAAAGGAGAGGGCTGGGGAGTCGAATTCCATCGCCCCTCCTCTTATACGATTCTTCAAACTTAACAGATATAAATAGGTTTTTTGGAACATTTGAGTTTCCTTTTCAGTGAATACAGATGCTAAACAAGCCAAGCTACTTTTCACTTAACCTGGTAACCTAATAGCTGTTGTAGCCTAAAGCTAAAAATGCGAAAAAAATTCAAATTCTGCCAAGAAAATATTACAATTCGTATAAGAATCCACCAGATAAGTGTTTCTAGAATACTTAATTTTTAAGAAAATGTATATATTTATAAGCAAGATTTATGTATTCTGAAGCTCTTGAAAACAATACTACTAAGAAGATGCCTAAGTTGAGATAATTAAAATCCAGGTCGTTTGAGTTTTTTTAGAATAAAAATTAGGCAAGAGCAGTACGCACATGTAAAAAACCTTCCCTTGGCTGAGGTGCCTGGTCTTCCCAAATATTATATATCACTTTACAAACTGTTTTCCAGGGAACCTCTTACAGCATGTCATATTTCTTTGCCAGTTTTTTATTTACCATGTTTCTACAATGCGGTATTTTCCATATATATCCTACATATGTATTTAAAATTGAACAGAATTCGTTGGAAAACACGCACAATTGTATATCTATAACATTCCAACAACTAGCAAATATTTGAAGAACATGAAGCAGCACACATCTAAATAATACGCATAGGCAAAAGTTACATACAGATTTTTAGAATGTGCAAAAACAACACAGCAAGCACGTAGCATACCCAGGAAGTCAATGTAATTAAGGCGTTTTTTGTCAGAACCTTACACTTAGGCCTAAAAATGCAAGACTGTACTCGCTTGACTGCTCACATTTTCTATTCTGGAAGAAAAATATGAGCACAGCAGCCACTTGTTGGGTCAACAGCTTCCATCTGTGCGAATCGTTGCGACATGTGTTGCCACAAACTGTGACAACCGCTAATGGGTGGCGAGAAATGATGCAACGCAGGCTAGAGAAACTTCAAATGTGTAAGACATTTGGAAAATTTTAGATTTTAGAAGAATCTGATTGGGTATGATATTCATGATAGAATCCAAATTTAAATTAAATAAATGATAATGCAATATATCATAAATTAGTTCATATATAATATATACAATCCTATCATTACCTATATTAATTTTCGCGGCAAATGCACCTAGAACCTAAAAATTTTAGTTATCGAAAATTTTTTTATTTTTTAAAGGCCTATTCGAATCTGCATCACGGCCTGTGAAATTGTGGAAACTGTCCCATAACTAACTGTCTTAACTAGACTTGTTAGAGATTGAGCTTGATAAGCCACATAACCTGGAGCGATTTTACTCAAACAACTATTACGCTTATCGAACCCCATGAAATCTCAATGGAGTCCAAGAAAACCAATTGTAAGACACAATATATTTTTGTAAGGTACTGGCTAAGTTAGTGTAAATTTTTACCATTTCTACGTTCCAGAATCTTTATTTATGTGCCTGCTTTCAAATAATAGATTATAAATTTCCGTAAGACCTTCCTACCACTATATATCCTGTTTAAATAGGAAGTGGTGTCTACAATAATTTAGGCTAGATTATATAATATTTAATTTAATACTTCTACAGGCAATATGACTACCGACCGAACTAGCCTAGCATCGGAATGGAGCAAAATTTTATCCGGCCATGGGATGTTATTTCGAAGATCTAAACTTGTTTTAATAGGTAAGTAGTAAGTTAAAGATGCAAAAAGAAGCGATATATTGCAGAAAAAATTATATGTATGGTATAATAACTTTCTCAACACTCAACTTCAACTAAATTTACTCAGAAATTATACAGCTTGAAGTTAATGGAGGCTTTTACTTTCCAGTCAAGGCAATACTAAGAATTTCTGTATAAAAACGTCACTATCGCAGAGGTGAGCTGAACTCAATTTTATATTGAGTAAGAATATGCCTACTCTCTTAGAAAAAAAATAGAAAATTAAAAGGAGATTATTAAAATTGACATGCTTTTGATTTGAAGTCGTAGAAACTAGAATTCTGTAATAATTCCGCGAGAATTTAACGATTTTCTTATTTTACTGCTGAGAACAAGTAATCTTTAGTAAATATGTAAGAGTATTTATTTTTCAGATAAGATAATTAATAAAACTTAGCAAACTTTTCCCGCGTTCTTTCCTCCACAAGAAGCTGCTCATTTGTCAAAATCGTCGATATCGGACTACTATAACATATAGCTGCCATACAAACAAACCGATCAAAATAAATTCTTATATAGAAAACTTTTTCATTTGAGAAATTATCTTTACCAAATTTGCCATATGTTATTTTTCAAAGCAACAGATCAGTCTCTTATTAAATTGCTCAAATAGGACCCACTGTAGCATATAGCTGCCATGCAAACTGAATGATCAAAATTAAGTTGTTGTATAGAAAACTTTTTTTTTGACAAAATATTTTTACAAAAATTGGCATATATTATTGCCCAAGACAGCGCTACAATCACCGAACATAGTGTACAGATCGGACCACTATAGTATATAGCTGCCATACAAGCACACGGATTAAAATCAAAAATAAAAACTTTTTATACCCTATTATGCTTTAAGAAATGCACCTGTAAAGGGTATTACCGCTTCAGTGCAGCGAAGTTAACGTTTTGTTTTATTTCATTTTCATTATGAATTTTCAATGCACGTGACTTTCCACAGTTATACTAGTACATACACCCACATTAGTTTCACTTTAAAATTCATTAACATCGCTAAGCACAATCATTTAGTGTAGTAATTAGGTATGTCTAACAAATAACTACAAATATGCATAGAAAAATGCTGCTGGTAATTTTTTGGAGAAAAATGTTGTTTGCTTAAAAAAATGGTAGCATGCTTGCGGCAAATCGAAAACGAAAGTGTGCCACAGGTGTTACAAATACAATTAAACACTGCTCAGTTTTATGTACTTTTTGGTATATAAATATATGGTATATACATACATACACACACGCGCAAGTTACTGTATCTATATATGTAAAACACATGCAACATGCCGCAAAACAATTAAGCGTTGCAGCCATTAACAAGATAAGAGCATAGATGTGCGAGAGCAACTCATTAAGTTTGGCTGCAAAAAAGCACACGTCTAGCTTAAATGCCGCGCAGATTCAATTAAATCTTTTGCATCGGCATTAGCAGAGAATCTGTTTAAAACTCAGCTATTAATAAAAGCGAATAAAAATGAAAACACACAAAAAGGGAAGGAGAGTTAGAAAGACAGAGAGATAGAGCGGTCCATTTGAGCGAAAAATTTAAGCAAACAATTAAACGTGCACAAAATAAAAGCGAGAAAACAATTTACAAAACCAGGGGGCGTACAATGGATGAGACCCACACAGTGCAAACTGCACTTGACTGTCGGCAAAGTTGCCGTCGCGCAACGCTTATTTATGTGGCTCATCAACAAATTTGTATCTATACAATATATTTACGGTGTTGTTGTTGTGTTGTTTTTGTTGTTAATTGAATTTTATGCTCGCATCGTAAATCAGCCGCCAGCAGAGCAATATAGCCTGACATATGTATGTGTATAATGTACATGAAAACATAATACATATAATAAATAAACATAGGCATGTAAGTATCATATATACACACATACATACATATATACTTGTCCAGATACAAATAGATCTATAGAAAAGTTTTCTTTTGTACAATTGCATTCATTTGCTAAAATTAAATTACATCTGCCGCTGTGATTTTCTACATTTCGTGTTGTTGTAATTTTATTTTACTTTTATTGTTGTTTTTGTATGTTTGCTTTGTGTGTTGTTTAGTGTCATAGCATGTCAATTTTCAGGTGCAACAGCCTACATTGCAATGTAATGCGCATTTAAAGTAAAAAAAAAGTATAAATAACAACAACAATGGCACCTGTGTTGTTAACAGCCGACAAACTCGTGCTCGTAAATATGTCCAACGACCGCATAAATTCTTTCAAATGGGCCCAACCAACAACACCAACACTCATATGTTACATACAACGCGTGCGGTGTGAGTGAGCAATTTTACACATACAAACATAATGCTAAGTACATATGTAGATATGTATGGGATTTTGAAATATTTATGATATTCAATACAGCGCAAGTGGGGGTTTCACTCTATAAAGTTATGCTAAAGCTTCTGTCATATTCTGGTTATTACAATTATAAACAAGAAACTGAAAGTTTAAACATAAATTTACTTAAATAAAAAGTCGGATCTATATCTTCTAGAGGGGCCTTAGAGTTTAAAATAAAATTTAAAATCATGATTTCACCACATCAATCATCATAACCCTTGAAAGATATTAATTAGTAACACTAGAATGATGTACATTTGACTAGACCTATAAAAATCAGACCTAATCACGTTCTTTTAGCTTAGCGGATATTTTATTATATTTATACCCTGAACAGGTTTCCAGAAGCAAACGTCGGAGACCATATAAAACATAAATATATGGATATACATATATTTATAAATGATCAATGTGGCGAGCTGAGTCGATTTAGCCATGTCCGTCCGTCTGTCTGTACATACCCGAACTAGTCCCTAAGTTTTGAGATATCGACTTAAATTTTAGCACACGCTCTGTTCCACAAAAAGCCGCTCATTTGTCGGAACCACCGATTTCGGATCACTATAGCATATAACTTTCTTTCAAATTGATAGATCAAAATCAAGATATAGATTCTCAAGAATACTTTATCTATAGGAGCCAATAAGTGAAAGAAACCTAGGAAAGTTCTATAGCAATCTTCGAAGTGATATCTAGCGCGGCGATCAACATTATGACTTACGTAACCTAATTTTTCGAATATTGAAAAAAGTGTGGCATTAAGGAGAACATAAAACAAATTGTAAAGAAACTCTTAAGAAACAGAGAAACTAAATTCTTCGAATTTTGGTATTTTTAGGGATCAAGACATAACATATAATACAATATAAAGATTAAAGCCAATATGAACTGATTTTTTATAAAAGAGCTTATATCAGAATATTTGTAGACAACTTTTCGAAAAAGCCCTTTGTATCTTGCAGTAATTTCCATAAAAATTATTTTTCTTACCGCAAACATTGCCTTCCTTTATTATTATTTCGAAGACTCTGACAATTAAGGTAGCTCAAACATATATACGAGTATCTCGCAGATAAGCAGCTAACGACAGTTCAAATGTTTCACGCGAGGGGTTGTGCTTTTATTTACATTTTTTTTTTTTGCTTTTTATTTGTATTTGTTGACCTCCTTTGCTTGCAGTGAACAATTCACCTATTCACCAATTCACCGGCGATCGAGTGGTTCTATTTGTGTGCATGTCGTCTAATGCGTTTGCGTGTACAACAACGCAATTTTGAACAGAAAATGTGCTTTTTATTTCTGTTGGCACACAACACTATTTGCTTAATTTCTAATTTATCGATTGCGTATATATACTTTACATTAATACTACGTATTAATGTAATCTAATTATGTTTTCATCAAAGCTAGGTAATCGGGTTTTCCGCGCAGAATACTGGAAAATAGTCGATTTGATAATTTTAGGCATAAATATTTCATAAGTAGTAAAAAGAAAAAAGAATAAGTTTGGATTTGTGTTAAAATATTAGCAGTCTTCGGTTTGCCAAACTTTGAAAAAGGCGAATCGAACACGCAACTGGTATAAATAACAAAAACTGGCATAATCTGGTAGTGAGAGAGAGAATAGCAAGCATTTGTTCTAATATGAACATATGCGTTGGTGCTTAGGGCCGCCGCAGCATAGGTAATATTTATTAGTAAGTTTTAGTAAAAACATGTATTACTAACTATCATACAGCCCATTCATTTAAAATAATTATTTTGTACTCGGAAAAGTCACAGTTATGCGACTTTAATGAGATATTCACATATTATACTTTTCTAATGGTTGAATTTTCCGTTTCCTTCATAATAACATTTTAATAGAAGAGTATAGTTGGAGTAGAGAAGTGACGAATCGAACGCGACTAAGCGATTTAAAAGTATTGATTTTCAAAATGAAAATTCTAAATATTTTACTTGTATTTTATCATTTATACCTCTTCCTAATTATGCAGTTAAAAAAATTCATTTGGTGTTGTGTGACAATTAGAATAATACAAAAAAAACAAAGATTGCACCAACTCAATAAAAGTTTATTTTATTATTTTTCTACTGATTTTTCAACAAAAAAAAATCACTATTCGTGCCATTTTTTTACACAACATGTCAATAAATCTATATTTACTTAGCATATACTATACGAGTATACCCACGTATGTATATTTTAATGTATGTTTTAGACTATTTATTTTTAGTGCTGAATAATCTTACTTGAACTTATTTAAAAAAGCCCTGACACTTGTGAAACTAATTGCTAAATTTTATGCGCTAAATCTGTCTGTACGGGTCAATACCCTGTAGAAATGAGATAACATGGACGAATAAGAAGCAGTAACATATTGTAAATTCATATATTTTTAATGTGAGTGTGAACTAATTTGAAGATAATATTCAAATTTTTTTAATATAAACTGCAATTTCTCACTTTTTTTCTCAGCAGGATCGTAATATCAAAGTTCAGTTTTAAATGTTGCATATGCACCTTGCACTTCAATGTGTGCTTAAATTTAGCGTTTCATTGACGCTTGAGATGAAAAATTATCAAAAATAAAATTTGTATGTTGAAACTGTTATTGACATTCGTCGCCAAAACTTATTTAGCGAACTTTGCCAAGTGCATGTAAAATTAGAAAATATTTGCGAATATCTGGGTGTATATGTAGGTATGTGCAGTATATGGATGTAGATATAAGAATTGCATCACTGTGCAAATTTTAACATTGAAAATTTTATTTTTTAAGACTAAAAAAGTTTAAAATATTTTTAACTGATATATGAAAAGTATATTATCATCCTTCATAGATTACAAGCGTTTCATTGGAAAAATTATTTATTTTATGGAAAAGAGGAAATCTTACTATGATTCCAATATATACTATATATAAAAAATTGACATGATATTAAAAACTATTATAATTCCTTCAAGAATCATATTGTTGCATACACATTCAAAATACTTGCATTTATTAATATACAAATTTTGAGTTATCTAATTTTATATAACAGCAAGTAAATATGCAATGACAAACTTTCTTTTTGTTTTGTGACATCTCATTACAACTTTCGAATTTTCAGATTTTGGAAAGTTAAACTGATTAGGGGAAAATAAATTTGAAAGCATGACTAATTCATTATCTCAAGAAAAATCACATATGCATGTATGTATGTATGTGCAAAATTTGTTCAATAACTAAATGTAATATTAAAATACTTTGCAATATTCATTATTTTCAGAAACAAAAAAGCTTATTCTCCGCAACTCTTATATGTATGTAACTCAATAACACACTTTTATTACCATCAAGCAACATCACATAACAACAAATAAATCAAAAGCTATTTTGCAAATAATTTTTACTCAAAATTATTTCATCTTTTATCTGTATTTCATTTTAAATAAATAAAATTTTTCAACTCATTTCATAGCTGTAAAGAGCTTTTTGCATCACTCTTAAACCTCGCTAGCTGCTTTTCTAGATGTGTAATCCCAAAAGTGATTCGGCACTTTGTACTGATAACGAAGCAAAAAAAAATTTGCAAATAAGCATCTCACATCTCCGACAATCGGAGACAACAAAAATGCTTCGCCGATAAGAAAACCTCGTGAGATCATGTGCAAATTTTTTTATCTCTTTCACCTTAATAATTTAGCTGAATCGAAAAGTAAACAACGTATGTTTTATGAGCTACAGGACAAACAACGAGCAATGCGACAGTTATGATGCATATTTCTTATTTTTGTTATATTATATTACTATCACCATATAATAATTGTGGGCAGGCAAAACAATATCACGCACAGTGGGAGAAATGCATGTGAAAAATGGTAAAATATTAAATAGGTTATAAATTTTAGTAAAGAAATTTTATTTATCACATAAGCGGAGTTCACTTTTAATAAAAAATGTATTTCAAAAATATAGGAACTTTGTAAAAACCTTGTATTACTGATATTATTGGTATTAAATTGCTAAGCAATTTTTTGTTTACTTTCCCAGTAAAGCAAAACAAATGCTCCAGATCTTATTTGCTTTTTACAGCAAGAGTACAGAGAGAGGGGGATATTTTAGATTAGAAATAAAAGAAATCTATTTTTTTTTTTCAAAATTAAACTATCTAAGAATATGTCTACAAGAGGATTTTTTAAAATTCAAATAATTTTCGGAGGTATAGGAATATTTTGCTGACCCGACATCAAAACTGGTTCGGCTTAACGCCAAACTTTAAAATCTTTTTTCCAGAAACTGTCTTTTTCAAAACGATACCCACGATTTCTCAGGTTCTACTGTATCGATTTGCCGGAAATTTTTAGCAAGTCTTCTTTAAAGATTATGTCTATGTCTGGAACTATCCATATCCCCAGATGTCAATTTTTGCTATTTTTTAAAAATTCGAAACAGTCAAAAAAATTGGTACAAAATTTACTTTTTCAATTGCCAATTTCTGTGAACCCTACTTAATCAGCTGCCAATTTTAGAAATTTTTATTTTTTGATTTTTTCCTGTAATCTTGTAATGCTAATAAATAACTAATAAAAAATGGATAGTAAAAATACTTATTGCCTTTTTTTCCGACACTCAACTTCAAAAAATACCTTACGTTCTTCTTTTAGACTAGAATATCCTTTTAAAAATGCTGAAATTTATAGTGTTTAGCAAAAGTGTTTGAAAAAATAGAAAAAGAGCTCACAAATTTTAAGAAAATGGGAGCTTTGCTAAAACAAAATAAATTTTGAACCAGAAGTATATCTAAAATTTTATTCAATGGGTTTAAAAAACGCAACAGCGTGTTTTGTGTTAAAAAAATTTACAATAATAGTTGAACATTTTACATTTATTTTTAATTTTTTTAAAGATTTATTTTTTTTATAAATATTTTATGTTATATTATAATTTTTTAATTATTAAATTGTACTTTTTTGTTTTTGAAAGATTTAATAAAAAATTATGATAAATGTTTCATTTATATATAATATAATTGTTCAAAGCTGCACACTGTGCAGCGCTCTGGCATTCGATAAGAAGCAGAAATAAAAACTTAATTATTTATCATGTTTGTATCAAGCAGAAAATATTAGCATAGCTTGAATTAAAAAGCGCCACGCTCGCCAGCTTGCCACGTCAATACATAAGTACATACATGCATACGTATGTATATGCACAACACTATATATAAATATAAAAATGTGCGTACGTAATTTCAGCAAAGTCGAAACAAATGCGGAAAAATTCATGTCAATAAATTATTTGAGAATATAATCAAATGAATGCATAATTTTTATGGATATTAATAGGTCATGTACTTGAGAAAACGGGTAGGCATTGAAGCTTGAAGTTGAAATATAAAACAATTAGAGGGCCTAAAAATGAAAATTGTGGATGAATACAGATGACGCCAATTAAACAAAATTTATAAATATTGACCAACTCAGATAATTATATATGAATGCCTGTGAGTATATATGTGAGCATATATGGAAGAGAATAAAATTATTTTTATTATCTTCGCATATAGCGGTAATGACTCTTATCGGAAATTTTATAAAATAAAAATAAAGACAATTCATAAAGAAAATGATGGATGAGCTATGATATGTGATTTAAAAAAAACAGCAACATCGAAATATTTCTAAAATAATGAACTTTTGATAGTGAGGGTGTCATAAAATCAAAAAAAAAGATTAATTTAATTTCAGTACTTTGATGTTATGTAAGAGAATAATACGAATAGCTGTCTTCGATTTGCCAAGTTTTACTCTTCAGCGAGTCGAACAAGCTATACCAGATGCTAAAACAAACGGGCAGCAATTGTGATGCAACGCTACGCTAACATGTCTTCTATTGCTTCTTGATCTCTTTGACCTCTTTGACCTCTACCTAGTACATTTCGAATGACAAACCAAACTCATTGAAGCATGAAATATTTCCTTTCTAATATAATATCCACAATAACCACATGACCTAAAACTTCCAGCACAGCATCTAGCAACTCGCATAACCAATGATTTGTTCCATCAATTTCCACGCAAACCTACATTTTACTTATGATTGTACTTCATCATTGTCAGTTTTTCGCCGCTCACTCGGTTTTTCCAACTAAATTTAATTTACATCTTTATTATGTTGCACAGTTGTACAAAAAGAACCACTTTTTTCGGTTTGTCATTGCTTCTTCGTTTTTTTGTTTTTTTTCATTTTTTTTATCAATCATTATTGATGCCTACACTGTCGTCCAAAGCTTGATTGTATCAAATCGATGACTTGGCATTCACCACTTACCGCTGGGTGTGTGCATGCACCAGCTAGGCGGGGTGACCAGCATTTAAATGGAGTGATGCTCAGCGATAAATTGTGCGCAGTGGACAGGAAATGCAGTCGCCTATGAAGGTTGGTAAGGTTGGCGAGCAAACTAAACACAAATAAACAAAGCATCTCTTAATTTCTACCTGCTGCACCTTTGTGGTTATTGTGCGGCAAAATGGTTACGTGGCAAGAACATTTAGAACTGACAAAAAAAAAGAAGTAGAATTGTCTTCTAAACATGTATTTCCTGTTGCAGAACAACAACAAATCGATCGAGAAGATTACCACGCATTTATTGCGTTTCCTCCATTGTCCCGCAAGAGTTCTCTTCTCTTGCTTTCTACGCAACACAAATATTTGTAAGTTTGGGTTAGTTCTTACGCATTTTTAGTTTTAATATTTTTTAAAAGAAACTTGTGTTGCATATGCTTTCATATTGATTGCTTTAGGCATGTATTATTAAAAAATTTGACATGTAGGCCATGTGTATGTGTGTAAGTATACGAGTATGTGGAATACAAATAAAACAAGCTATACGTGGATATAAGAAATTTAGAGTATAAGCATAAACTTCTTGGTAAGTAAATAGTTTTATAGAACACATACTACATAAATAAATTATAGAATTATACAAAAGTCTTTATGTTTGATTAACAGTATAAAAAAGCTGGAGTGTCTAAGGCTTCAAAGCGCCCCCAATTGATAAAATTATTTATTGTTATCTATCTGTGCCTTTGACTGCCACCAAAACAAAATTACGGCGATTACACCAGATAGATTGCAGAGAGTTTACATTAAAATTAGGGTGGTTAATAATTAAGAGGAAAAATAAGATATAGAAAAAATGTCTGCAGAAACCTTTGAAGAAAAATAAATACAATATATATTGTAAACCTTCAATTCTCAAGTAAGAAAAAATGTGCTGTACTGTATCCACTAAGATACAATTAAGCCAAATAAACTAAAATGAACTCAAAAAATGTTTGGACCTTTTTTGGTTAATATAATGGGTAAACTAAATCAGCAATAGTCGGAGCTTTAAAATCATAAATTTCTCAAAAACACAGCTATTGGAAAATCTTATTGAATATCAAGATTTGGGTAAAAGAAGACTATGAAGACATTACCGAAATTTAAGTAATAATAATTATTTATCAAATTTTTTCACAAGTTTCGCTTCCCATATCTAAAAACGAAATATTGCCATACTTTACAACAACAAATGTTATCGCTGTTCTCTAATGCACAACAGTCATGCCTTTACGCTTTTATGTGTACTTACACACATACATACATATGTACGTAATTGCTGTTATTTATAAACAATTGCATAGTTTATATTTACTACCTTCAATGAAAGTACAACAAAGCGTACAATAACAACGGCAAAAAGTTCAACAAGTATTTATTTATTTTATTTAGTTTCTCGTTCGTAAGTTCGAGGGCAATAAAGTTTAGGCTTTTGGCTTCCTTGAAAGTAAAAACTAAGAAAAAAAGCCTTTGGCCTGCTCTCGGACGGAATTTGGCAGTTGGACTTTTCAGCAGCGCATAGCCGAAATATCTCAGAAGACTTTGTTCATTTGATGTTAATCGCTGCCAGCCAACTATAGAACGGTTCTTGCGATGTTTTTGGTTTTTTTTTGGCAAATGCTCAAATTTTAAAAATATAACAATTGTGAAATGAAAAATAGAAAAAAATAAACAATTTTATTTAGTATTGAGAATGCAGTGTATACATACACACACATGCTTACTATATGTTTTATATACTTATATGCATATGTATGTCTCGTTAAACTTCTAAACATTTTAGTAGCAGCCCGAAAGCAATTGAAATTTGTTAGAAATTTTATTTTATGTCTGAAAATTGTTGAGGAATATTTTTTCGCATTTAGTTAATGGAGGGAACGTGATTATATATATGTGCATGGTGACTAAAGTTTGCAAAAAAAAAAATTTTCAAATAAATTAATATTTTAGCAATATAATACATATTAAAATATACATATATATTTTTTTATGTCTAGTCATTATAGTATTATAAATTTCACAGCACTGTTTTGGAAATTGCTAAAACTTTTGCGTAAATGTGAATTTTTTGCAAATTATTATTAATTAGATTAAGTTTGAGTAACATTGGAAATAATTTGTATGAAAAGAACCTAAAAATAATTTTTTATTTTACAAAAAGTTCGGACAATAATTTTTTTTAGGTAAAAGTACTCTCCAAAACTGAGAGACTAGATTGCGAATATGCAAAAAGACAGACATAACTAAAACGACTTATTCCGTTATGGTGATCATTTATATTTATTATATGTATATAATTTAGAGGATCACGTTTTTTTCTTGGCGTTACAAACTTGGTGCAAACTTAATATAGCCTGTTCAGGGTATACAAATAAAAATAAATTAAAAGTTTAGACATCCAATCATATACTCAATAGAAACTTAAAATCTGTTTTTGACTAGGAGAGATATTTACTTTTATTAGAGAAACTCATACATATACAGGAGTAACGTTAATTTAATTATAAAAAGTGCAAATACACACACTGTAAATTTTGTATATACATATGCACACGAACATTTATTTAAAAGTATATACTTGTTTCCTAATCACCCATTAATCGGAAACTGCTATTCTCAATTGAATATTTCATTACATAAAATCCCAAAGTTCAAAGACTACCTTAATGGAAATATTATAAAATCGAAAGCTGTTGTAACAGTTGCCATAATTTTTTTTCCATTATGGTATGAATATATTTGATATAACTCAATACTGAGTTAAGTAAATACTCAAACATATGCGCAACACTTCTAAATGTTTGTGATAGTCTTCCAGCGTATGTTTATGCCTTGTTTTCATTTCCACCAAAATCAAATGAAAATATTCAGCTTGATATTCTTGGACGCGGAAGTGCTCGCTACAGACCACAGTTATAAATTTTCGCTTAATATTCTCCACATACTTCAATTACATAAGTTCTTATCTTGGGAATTTTATTTGAAGTAATAACGGCGAATGCAAATTTGCATTTATCACATGTGGTTCCAACGAATCGAGTACAAATCTTAATAAGCTAATTATTCATCAACGTCTGCGCCTTTTTTTATCATATGCTGTATGTAAATTTTTGTTTAATCAGTTCTTTTTTGGTTTTGGTTATGACATCAGAGCTGTTCTAAAAAAAAATCTGAGGAGCGACTTATCATCGCAGTAGTGTTAAATTATTTATAAAATGTGTTACTCAGTTATATAAAAGTGCAAAAATGCTTAAGAGAGTCAATATGAGAACGATGGCTCTGGTTTCAGAACTCGCAAGCGCTACAGTCCAAAGATATCTGTAGTATGTAACAACTCCAAGAGTCTTTAATTTGTATTAACCTAAAATATAACTAGATATTTTCGGTAGTGAAACATTGTTTTAAGAATATTTTAAAACATTCTACAAAATGTTTTAAAATTTATGAAGATTCTAGAAAGTTCACGCCTTTTCCTAACGACTAATGAATTTAATGTTAATATTTTTTTGTGTCGGAAATACTTCGAATTCTTTTTAGCGCATTTTTATTAGCACGTCATTGTAGAGACATAAATTTTTGAAAGTTATTGAAGAACGTGAGCAATTTTTTGAACTATTTAGATTATTTTTAATGAACTTCATTGCTTTCTTGGCCGATTATAATTATCCACAGTAAATGGTTGCCTAAAAAATTGATTTTTGACTTAGCTTTATTTCAAAACAATAATTTACAGTTCCAGATTAGCTACCCACTGAAAGCAAAGAGGCCTTCCATAAATATAATATCTATACCTTTTTGTATCAAAAAAAAAAAAAAAATAAAAAATTGTTGGCAGAAAGAAAAACGAAAGTTTCACAACTTTAATGACAAGATTATTTCAGATGTTTTTGTAATTAATTAAAAAAAATGTAAAGAGGTTACGAGAACATTCTTATTGAACATAAATTGCTTTAAAACAGATACGCTGTTAATAATAACAACACGTACGAGCATTCAAAGTAATTATATTTTTTTATACCAGTACATTTAGTTTATATACATATGTATATATTATATACCATATATGAGCACATATCCACATCTATCACATTCACTAGCAATTAGAATCAATGTTTTTAATAGCCCAACAATTAGTATATAAGCGTAAATTTGTTACTACTGCAATTCAGAAATAGCACGCAATTACAATTTAATTTTCTAGTTCACAATCATATGTATATAATATATAGGTATGTATATATATATGTATATATGTATGTATATAATTATATGTATGTTCTTATATATATTATTTCTATTGTGATGTGAACTAAATTAAAGGTAAATGCACGTTATGGATTGAAGATCAGCGAGTAGTTTTTTACTAGTTTCACCGTAAGCGCTGCAGCCAGTTTCAGATATCACAAATACTTTTTCAAAATGCCTGGCAAGATTTAGTGTATAATTTCAAAAAATAAGGTCTTAATGTACAAGATAAATATTATGTGTACTTATTTGCCTGTTGTTCACAAACAGGCTATCCAGTAACAGAAAGGTACAGGTAATTTGATTGTGCTAGTATCCAGGTTTGTACACTTGCCACGCCTTTGCAAAGATTACCGTATGTAAATGGAGAAATGCTGAAGGGAAAACAATCTTCTTGAGAACTCTATATTTACCTTAATTTATTTGTAAATCGCAATACTATACACAAGAATTGTAGAAAGTATTGAGCTGAAGTATGCGTTCAGCTTTGCATATGAACGAGAGATGCAAATTTTTCAAAGAAAAACAATATCTAGACAAGTAGTTAGCAAAACGAAACTTAACCGAATTTAACTATGGTGAAAAAGTAATGAAATTGTACAGTAATATACAAACCATAGAAGAGTGTTGAAAAGGTATATTATTTCTCTAACTCTAGCTTCAAATTTTTGTACATATTTAGGTATACTTTGAGCTAGCCGGACTTTAAAAGGCCTAGTTAAGTAGATTAAAATAACAAGAGGTCTTCATAAAGTAAAAACTTACATCCATTTCTAAAGCTATATTTTATTAGTGAAAAGTAGTTAACTAAAAATATATAGTAATAATTTGAAAAAAGGCAGACGAGTTGGTCTGCTGAGCGCAGCAGAGAATGCAGTTCCATTCAGTTACCGTTGACCATTCAGTTCTTTCAAGAGTTGCTTGAAGCAATGGACTCTAGAAGAATACCTCAGGTCTTGAACTACTAGTACCACAGGACATACCACATAAGTACTTTAGAATAGTGTTGATGGTGGACAGATCAAAAAGCTTATATTTTTAGGTAAGAACGGACTTAGTAGCATTGTAGGAGTGAGCACAGGGCATCTGACTCTAAGATCGCACCCTCAGAAACTTGGTAAAGCAAAATCGGGAGGATGAAAAGCATGCGCGGAGGATGACAATACTCTAGATCATTATCTCTGTAAATGTCCAACCTGAAGGCAGAATATCAGGTTGAGACGGGATATATTCCATGGCTCTCAAAGATCCAACTTGAAAGTTATTGGGCAATTAGGGTGAAAAATCCGCAGAATTGCCAAACAGCGCTAAATTGGTTACAACTTGTGACGCAATGAGTCTAATTTTGGCTTTAATGCTCCTGCGCCGCCGTCCTTCAAACATACAACGTTGGAAAATTAAATCTCTTGGCGTATATATTGACTAAAAATATATTTTTGAAAATGGTTCTTTTAAATGTTTGATAATCCGCAAAAAGGGACACACACAAAAGTATAAAAAATTATTAATTTTTTTTATGAAATATATCCCAATTAAATAATTTTAAAAGCACAGCGTCTTTCAGATTATCGGTTTTTCTTTTTTGGATTATTGTAGTAAGGATAAAAATATGTCTTCAACATTATATACCACAAATCCAGAGAAAGTTAAGATCAACTTTTTATAGGTTATATTTTCAACTTTCGAAAATTACAAAAAAAATCTTTCGAATAGATTAAAACAAGACTCAACGATCACCTCCATTTACCCAATCGAGACGTGTGGCACAGTTTTCTTAACATAAATAGGTTAATAAAGACTTTAAAGTCCAAAAAGTGATTGCAATAAATCGTATATGCTTCAATGAGAATTAAAATCTTAAAATATGCCAATAAGGAGCTTACTTAGTTGCTATCACATGATTTTACAAACAACGGTATATAATAGATTGATACTAAAGCAGGGACATTGAAAGTGAACCCCAAAACAAAGGAAATGAACTGCAACTGTATTAAATAAGAAGTTTTGCTAAGAATACCATCGGAAATGAAAATTTTATTCGAAAAAACAACACTCAAAAACATATTGTATTATAGACAATTTCAACACACTCGAACTAAATTTTTCTTTGCTACTAAAACTTATATAATATTATTATATTCAAAAACACTAAACTTTCTGCACAATATTTTATAAAAATAGCAAAATATTTAGTATTTTTCGAAAAGAAAATATATGTGGTGAATTTACTTGTTGTTTTTGTGTTTTCTGAATTGTAAAGATTTTCGCAACTGCTGCTTTCTGTCAACAAAACGCTGGCGAATATTAATTTCGTAGACACTTTGTAATAATACAAGTATTTTGTGTTAATTTACTCAATTTATTTAATTCATATGCAAGTGACCAGAAAAAGTGTTGCAAATATGTATCTCTTTTAAGGTTAAAACTAGTTACTGCTATTTTGTAAATAATTAATTTTCTTTTAATTTTTCGAATTTTGCTGTCGCTTTGCTTACATTTCCCCCGTTTTACTTCGCTTGTATTTTTATTTGTTTTCTTTTGGGTATTTCAGGCTATTTAAAAACGATTGCTTTTAACTTTTATTGTTGTTAATTTTATTTTGTGTGGTTTTTGTTGTTATTGTCAGTAGTTTATGAACACACCAGGTAATTGCAATTGTCAAGCGCACGAGCCGGTTGTCTGGCGTTCCAATGCATTTTTCCACAATATAAATATTAATAACATGAACAAAATACAAATAAATATTTTTTCACGAAATTTACTTTATACTTTAACTGCGCAGCTGATAATAAGCCAATAAATTATTTTATCACTTCGCCCTTTTGCTAAAGTGCGCAATTTTCACTGCACAGTTTTGGGTTTAACAATTAATTCTTGCGCAATTTCTTTCGATTTTGAAATGAGAAGAATTTAAAAGGTCGAACTTTTTAATAATTTAATAAATTTTATTTTAAAATTTTATAATAAATTTATCAATTTTCTATTTTCACCTCAAAAATTCACTTGCATAAATTGTTTAGCATCCACACAACTTTTCAATATTCACTCTTACTTGACTTTTATTTCATTTAAATATTTGACATTAATTCTGCTCGAATTCCCCCCAGTCGCGCAACTCTTCGATCATTTCAACTTTAATCCTTCGTCGCCCACTTTTATTTACTTTTCTCTAAATTCCCTTTCGCTTCACTGATTTATATGTTGTGACATTTTTTTTTCTATAATTAAACACACTTTTTTTTATAGATGTTCTAAAATTTTACGGAAAACATCCCACACACAACTCGTTAGACCGAAAAATAATCACACATACTTCTTCTCTCCCCCAACCACAAAATGTTTCACTGAATTTTCTTCCGCGCCAACGATCTAAACGGCTGAAAAGTCGAATCGAATCTGTCCGCGCGCACCAACAAAATCGCCGGTTGCTTACGGCTCAGTTGACATCGCATGTTGACTCTGGCTGACTCTCAGCTGTCTGCGTCTACCTGTGTTCTTTTGCATCCCCACGTTGCGGCGCTGAGGAAAAACATCGCCGAAAAGCCGAAACAAAGCAGAAAGCGCAATGAAAATACACAACAAAACAAAACAAAGCGACTAGAAAATGCAGCTAACAGCAAAAAAGTCACGAACGTGCAGAGGCACATGTGGAAAACAAATAATACTGGGCAAGACAGCACACTGGCTGAGAGAGAGAGAGAGCCAAACAAATGCAGTGCACTGGTTTTTATATACGTATGTATGTATTTGTGTATTTTGGTCCCATGTGGTGCATGCGCTGTCAATCTGTTTGTCTGCCTTTCTGTCTCTGTTGACATGTGCGGTGTTTATTTTTGTTTCGGCACTCTCTCGCTCTCACTTAATTTTACTAAAATTAGCTTTTGCCATAAATAGTGAGCACATCAAAACAATTTCATATTCATAATAATAACAACAACACTTCTGCTCGGAACGAATGATAAGAAATGCTTTCAGGTGTAAAGTGCTGATTAAAACACCTCAGCAGGCTGGTGACTGGCAGCCTGGTATTATTATCAGAACGTCGAATAGGAGAGAGATAAAATAAATTAGCGTGTGGTACACTGTGCAAAAATTAATTAGGAGAGCGCTTACCTTAAAAAGAAAGCAATAGAATAAAATGTTTATCTTTCTTGGGTTCGCTCGAGTGTATCCGAGAAAAAATTATGTAATTAACTTCTTCTTTGTGGGTAAACCTTTTACCTTTAAGCCTTTTTCGAACCTTAACTCATTGATGTTAGCTATTTTGGTACATGCCACTGTTCTCGTTCCCTTTCGTAAGCAGGCAAAGTAAGCATTTTGAGTTGTGAAGATTTTTACCAGAGTCAACCGCATTTTATGTCCAACTGACCTTGGCCTAGCAGCTCTACTGTCTTATTATAATTTGCTAAACCTGTATCTCACTTATTCGCTATTTGTATTTCGGGCTGAGCTGTCTACTACCAGACTGACTATAAATTGTGGAGTCGTTAACTATGAGGACACCCTCGTACCGATTAAATCGAATTGGGAACGAATTGGGTCTCCGTACTCTTGCGTTCTAGCGCTGCACTCTGGACTTCGCGTGAGCTTTTTGAAACTGCCAGATCCTTCTGACCTAGTGCGGAACAAGATCCGAAAAGAGATCCACTGAAATACTTGCTCTCAATAAGGTTCATCTTGCCGCAATCGTAGGAATTCCTTTTGATCATTGCTCAATGCAGGCATGGAAACATCCAGACACTTTCTCCTCCATCAACCAGCATTTGCAAGACTGAGGTTGAAACACTTCGGCAGTCATATCTTCAGCAAAATAAAAATTGATATCAGCCATATAAGTAATTGTTGGCAGGTTCAAAGCGCTTTGTCGATTTATGAGAGTCCTTACCATCGATACTTAGAAGTATTCAAGTATCACAATGGACCGGTGTTCTCAGCTGTCTAAGTGTGATGCTTTTTTGGATGACTCTTTTAATCTAACCCTAACCTAACTCAATATTTTCTACTTAGCACTAGACGGTTACCTTTTCTGGATCATATATGGGACACAGATGGGTTGTTCCAATATGAATGTCGATTTTCTCTTCAAAAGCAATTCCAAGATTTCCAAATAAACAGTAGAGTTTCAAGCAAAGCATCCTCAACCCGCCAGAATATGAGTTTTTGGATCGAAGCTCAGAAAATACGAGCAAAATCAATCACTCATTTATACTGAACATAAGACTTTAATTGTATATACAATTCAAAAACTTCATCTTTCGTATAGATTGAAATTAATATTTTTTCAAAAATAAAACAACAATAAATATTAATTTGTACTTTTTCCCATCGTAAAAGTGCACACATAAAATTATCTAACCCTTTTATTGATAGCAACCGGTTTTTAATGGACATGCCTATACAAGTGCATATCGATTAACAACCATACATATACAAACGTATGTTAGAGTATTAAATAAATTAATAAAAAAATATGTATTTATATATCTGTATATCATTGCATCATCTCGCAGGTAACAATCCCCCTATAGGTGCACCAATCTACCCACTCCTCGCCCTAAATGCGTTGAATGAAGTTCGAATTTCTGTGTTGGTTTACGACCATCGCCTTTTCTGGAAAATTTTTCTTGCAGCATTTTCTTGGGCGCTTAACTTTAATACCACGATTAAAGATAGCGGTTTATAAATTATGAGAGCAACAAACAAGTAGTACGAGTAAATGTGACCAAATAAAGCATAAAAGTTGAAGGAGTGCATTTGTTTATATACTTGTACTAATAAATAAATAAAAAGTTATATAGTTTGATTCGAAATAATGAACCAACTAACAATTTATTAGGAATAAGGAGTAATAATTATGCATTAGAGTCGCATAAAGACAACGTTTATTATTAAAGTGATGCAGAATCTCGACTGGACTTCGGAATCTGGAATTTCATATATACCTTTTGCGAATCTATTTTGCGATGAGATATCATGATATTTGTGTAAAAATTATTTCCGTTTGTCACATTCTTTAACTCATTTTTTTCAGACTTCACGGCTTTGTATGCATCTACCTATTTGAAGTTGACAGTTCGCAAACACTAAGAAAGGGAGTTGCAGTTTTACAATTTATGAAACTTTTCTGATATATAATATTTGCATATATACATGTATATAATTACCATATATACAGAAACCTATATGTACATTTAATTATTCGTGTACACAGCTGTTAGGGAATACTTCATATTTATGCCTCCAAGCCGTCAGCCAATCGCGAGTTCACAATCAAGTTAAACAGCTTGGAAATATGCGGGAATTCATTTCAAAATGTAAATCGTTTAATTAAATGCGTACTTATTTCAAGAGAGTCGTAAAAGTGTCAATTAACTGAAGAAAATATCGAATATTTTATTTTTAGTTTCAGAAAAACCGATTTTTAAGAAACCGGCTAAAGAAAAAAAAATCATTTGGAATTCATCTATTGTATTTTCACAGTGTGGGTAGGGATGCCAAAAGGATTTTCGTTGCGCGAATTTGGTTAATATAGCTTGAATGATTTAGGAGATATGTAACGCTTTGTTATCGCATGCGCAGACGGATAGACAGACAGTCACTCGGATTTCAACTCGTCACGTCATCTTGATCATTTATATATGTATATAACTCCGTATCTATCTTGATTAGTTTTAGGTGATACAAACAACCGTTAGGTGGACAATACTATTATATTCTGTAGCAACATGTTGCAAGAGCATAAAAATGGTGAAACAGTTCAGTGCTTAATCTAGCCCACATACCTATACGTAATGTAATGATTTTAGAACGCTGAGTTATATATCGGTCAATATGTAAGATATTAAATAGGTTCATGAATTCCTTAAGCCCCTGTATAATATACCATACATATATAACATACCATAAATGCTTATTTCAATTATTTTACTATTATAATTTCAATTGTTATTTATTTTTCATTTTTAATTTGAGTCTTCAATTTTTCTAGAATTTTCTTTTACTTTTTACCTTTCCACTTTTAACACTTAAGTAACAAAGCTCACCATATCTAACACTTCTTCTTCACAGCTCAATAACAAATTAAGCGCCTTCGCAATGATGGACACCATTAGTAGCATTAGTTATGCCCATTAGAAGAAGCGGTGTTTCAATTTGCAATAATAATCAAATAAGTGAAAATGATAATAAAAAAACAGAAAAACATTAACTTCGGCTGCATCGATGCTATAATACCCTTCACAGGTGCATTTCTTATAGCAACCATAAACGTAACCGGATCTTCTTTTATGAAAATATTTGTGTTTATTTTCATTGGTCAGTTTGAGTTATATGCCCTAGGGTCTAAAGTGAAAAAAATGTTTGGAGATTGTAGAAGAGTCTTGGACAATAGTCCATGCCACATTTCGTGCAGATATCTTGTCAAAGAAGAAGAAAATACAACGACTTTATGTGGATAGATTATTTTGAAGGTGGTGGTCCGATATCGGCATTTCTGGCAAATAAGCCGCTTCTTGGGGAGCAAAGGAGGTGCACAAAGTTTCAGATCAATATCTCAAAACCTGAGGGACAAGCTCATCAATCAAATATACAATATATACATACATATGTATATTTTATAGGATCTCGGACGGCAAACTTAATATACCCTGTTCAGGGTATAAAAATAAGTAAAGGCAATCACAGGATTGACTCCTTTATTGCTTTAGTAAGAAGTTAAGCGCTGAGCAGTAATGTATATATGTATGTTTGTATGTATTTAGAATTGAAGCAGCTTACTAGGCCAGCGTGTGTCGAATTTTCCTGGAACAGTAAACTGCAATTCGTCAAAAACGAATTGGACTTTCTAATAAATCTTCTCAACATTCAGCAAAAGATTCAAAATATTTTGTTGATGGCACTTGGCGAAATGAAATGGTAGAAACTTTGGCTAGGAAAAGTGTGACTAAAGATGTTGGCTAACATTCTTCAAACAGAACTATGTATATACATATGTATGCTCGTATGTTAATTGTCGAATTTTAAATTTTATTGCACATTAGAAGTTGTGGAAACAGAAATTCCAGGATAAAAGTAGCACAGCAGACAAATTACTCAGATGTTATTTGAACGATTATAAATGTAATTGTATTTATACATGAAACATATGTAGGAGCTGGAATATCGAGAAAGTCGATTGATGCATATGTACAGATGTAGATTGGTAATAATAATTGAATAGTTGGAAAAGTGAGATATATACACTCAAGATCAAATTTGAGCTGGACTGGTGTATTTAAAAGGCGCACACAAACCAAATCGATAAATAAAAAACCAAATGCATGCAAATAAATGTCAAAAGTCAAACTTTAGAAGGTTGAACATTTAATTAATTATTTGTTTTCTATCAACTTAACAGCAGATCATATCAGTAAAAAATTTGAATATATTAGCCACATAAGCTGCACCTCTATTTTACATAAAATGAAATCCTCAAAATGTATA